TCCAAGAAAAACTTGAAAATATATAAAATTCAGAGGGGAAAAAATGAATGAGAAGGTGAGGTATAGGAAGACCAAAAAAAAAGATGAAAAATAGATGATCTTACAAATGGGGAAACAGAAAAGGCAATTAATGGGCTTTCACATCATCCTTCCCTCCTCCTAGGGAGCAGTTGGGCCTTTGGGCGGGACTGACCATGGCGGGAGTGAATCCTGATTGGTTGAGAGTATACAGCATCCTATTCTTCTTTTGAGCGATTGGTTCTCTTGGGGAGYATTAGCATCCCTTGAGAGCCAAGTTAGGTCTTTTGTTTGCTGTCTGGGGACAGCCAACAGTTCTTCTCCTAGATGTGAATCAGGGGCATGGAGCCCCAGTTGCTGATAGCCATTCTTCAAAACCACTCCCCCACTCCCCGGGAAAACAACTTGAAAACAGAGCAGTGAGGAAGGCAGTCTTGAAGGAACTGCAGAGAAGTGGAGCAGAGCCCCCACCAAGCTGCCCTGGAGCTTCCTGCCTCTCATGTTTTTAAAGTTCCTTGAGCCAATAAGTTTTTACTTAAGCGTGTTTGAACTACATATTGTTTCATGCCCCGAGAGCACCCAATTTCAGTGGTTCTCAACTAGAGGTGTGTGTGTGTGGYGGGGGGGTTGTCCCCCAGAAGATACTCCAAAGTCTGGAGATCCATTTGGGTTGTCTCGATTCGGGAGTGGATTGCCACTGGCATCTGGTGGGTAGAGGCCAGGGGTACTGCCTAACATCTTGGGATGCACTGAACACAGTTCAAGTCGGCTTTTTCACTGCTGTGACTAAAAGACCCGACCAGCACGATTGTAAAGGAAAAGTTGATTTGGAGGCTCGTTGTTTCACAGTCCGCACACAGCAGACTCCATTCCCCAGGGTTTGAGGTGAGGCAGGACATCSTGGCAGAAGAGAGTGGCAGARGGAAGCAGCTCACATGATGAGCAGAAGCCCAGAGACTCCGATTTCAAGATAACAAATATATACCCAAAGCCACGCCCCCAATGCCCCACCTCCTCCAGCTACCAATTAATCCCATCAGAGATTGATTCACCGATTACATTAAGGCTCTCCCAACCTAATCATTTCCCCTCTGTACCTTCTCATGTTGTCCCACACATGAGCTTCTGGGGACACCTCACAAACCATAACAAGCACCCCAAAACAAAGAAAAATCTGGCTTAAAACTTCAATAGTGCCAAAGATGAGCAACTCTGATAAATATTATCAAAGAACAAACTTTCCTGAGCTAAAGATTTCAAATCTCACCAAGAACCATGCAAAACAGTTGTGGTTTGTGGACATATGCATTCGAACTCGCAACTCAATATCAGAAGACCACAAAAATGKGTTATAAGGAGGACAGCCTGCAGAGTCAGAGTATTGTACAGAAGCCAGAAAGACATCCTCAAGGTCACCAGTGCAAGGCCGGCCTCAGCAACTCRGCAAGGCCCGGAGCTACTTCATGAGACCTTATCTTGAAATAGAAAATAAAAAGGGCTGGAGACGTGGYTCAGTGGTTAAGCAGCCCTGGGTTCAATCCTGGGAAACAAAGAAAGACATCCTCAAGTGATCTAAAGCCCTGACCATGCTCCAACCACACACCATAATGCTCTTCAAAATATATTGTAGCAGCTGGAGCCRGAATGGAGAGAGAACTCCAGAATGCAGCACAGGACAGAGCAGAATATGGGCATAAAAGTAGACAGTGGGGAAGAAGTAAACATTGTAAATCATTGACATCAGGAGGAGGAACAAACTGAGAAAGAAAACAATCCATACATCAAAACACAAAGCAATCACAAAAACAGAACACGTGTGATAAACCGAAGATCAATGGGAAAGAACCATTAACTATCAATGTCAGAAGGACTGGGAACGAGGYCAGTGAAGACACTTTCTACTTCAGAGAGGATCAGGCCAACTCCGCAGAGCCCAGACATTCATGCAAGACACCCGTCAGCCACTACATGTKAAAACCTGCCACTTCCACTCCCCAAATTCCTATTTTGAACCTTTACCCCCAGTGAGAAGGCATTTGCGAGGGGGACTTTGGGTAGGCTAGATAAGGCCCTAAGGGTGGGACCCTCATGAGGAACTAGCACCCTGATGGGACACCAGAGAAAAATCCGTCTCTCACCATGTGAGGACAAAGCAAGACAGGAAGAGTTCCCCCAGAGCCCCACTCTGCTGGCACCCCAATCTCAGCTTCACACCCCAGAACTGGGAGAAATAAGAACTGAGAAGTAAATGCTTAAGCCACCCAGTTTTTGGTATCTTGTTATGGCAGCCACAGAGAAGATTAATGCAGCCATCTACAGTGTTTCGTCCCCTTGGCAAAGAGTTTATATTCCAAGGGTCATGTGACTCCATAAACTGGTCCCTTTAGCCAGTTTGTGTCTAGTCCACTTTCTGTTGCTATAATGAAAATCCCTGAGGCTGGGTACTTTCAAAGAAAAGAAGTTTCTTCAATTCTGAGTCTGGAGGTTCAAGAACATGATGCCATCTTCTGCTTAGCTCTGGTGGGGACCTCCTGGTAGACGTCATCACAATGATGGAGTAGACTTGCAGAAGAGGTCACATGGCCAGACAGGAAGCAATCAATTAATACCCAAAAGCCAAACTCTAGTAAAGACCCTTTCTCACAGGAATGAATCCAAASCCCAAGACCTGCATTGCTGCCTTCATGAGAGCTGTGCCCTGCCTACCTCTTAAAGATCCACTGCTTCTCTGGGGCTGGGGTTGTGGCTCAGTGGTAGAGCACTCTCCTGACTCATGCAAGGCGCTGGGTTTGAGCCTCAGCAACACATAAAAATAAGCAAAATAAAGGTTTAAAAAAAAAAAAAAAAGATCTACCACTTCTCATTACTGCCACAATGGGGACCAAGCATGGTAGGGACCAAGTTGCCAATTTGTGAACCCTGGGAGACAAACCACATTCAAATCATAGCACTAAACTTTTGCTGGTTTGGAATGACAAGAACGACCTTCCATTGCCTACGTAGAGGAAAATAGCCAAACGTGACAGCAGCAGCCACATAAAAACATCTCGGGCCAACACAGACATCCTCTATAACAAAATGYATGCTGGCATCAAAATCTGACTACCATAAAGTAGCCCATAAATTCAAATATAAAGTTATTGCTTCATATATCATTTAAATATTTTATCACTCATATCATTTAAACATTTTCTCTTTACCAAAATATTAGTAGCCAAAAACCTACTTACCTTCACTACTACTCCTGGAAATAATCTGGGAAAAAAAAAAAAAGGTACAGCTCATATTCTAAAATGGCATTATACACTGTAACATTAATAAGTGCTAATATTTCCTAATAGGCAAGAGTCAGCTTTAAACCCAAAAGAAAATTCTCCAAGAAAATCTATTGGAGCTTCACTTTATTAAAAAGAGCATATCATCTTTCATCTGGTGGATAATATAGTTGTATGTGTAAAAATAAATCAGTTTTCTATACTATTGGTCGCATATTAATGTTTGTTACTATTTCACRTAATGTTCTAAAACATGGGAGTCTTTTCATTAAACACATATCTTATAAAAAGCCAAGAGTCATCATCAGTTTCCTGCCCAGTACCCGTGGCATCTGCTCCATGAAGCATCTGTCCACTCTTACCAGCACAGTGTCAAAGAAGTCCTCTAAGACGTCAGTGAGTGAAACATCCGAGGCTACATCTTCTATGGTCAGAAATCCCACTGTTCTCTCAAACCAGGAAACCAGGTACATGGGAAGAAACACAGATGGAACCCGGTGAGACTGAATACCTACTGCCGGTGCCATAAAACTTCACAAGATAATTCCCTCACTTGAGCAAAATCATCCTAAAGACCTTTGCTCATACCTAGTAACTCAGGCCTGGCTCCGAGGCCCCCCACGTAGAACATCAGAATGGTGTCCAACGGCTACATGACTACTATAAGTTATCTGAGCTCAGCAGGACAGACTTGGCCAGGATCCAGGCCAGAAATTCACATAAAGGGGTTTGTGAGGAAAGTTTAAGAGATGAATGAACCTCCCCCACCCAGAGGAACATCTTGTGGATCTGAGAAGCTGTAGAAAACTATCAAAGAAAATGTGCAGGGCTGGGGACTTGGCTCAGTGGTAGAGCGCTTGCCTAGCGTGAAAGAGACCCTGAGTTCAATCCCCAGCATTGTAGTTAAAAAAAGAGAAGATGTACAATTTAGGAAGTGCCCCTGCAGTACTCAAGGTTACAGTAACTGTGCCTCAGGCCTTGATAGCTAAAAGCTTTTGACAAAAGGTAACTGAAGGTTTTTTTTCCCCCCCTATAGGACTATATATCCACTTTCACATTGAGTTGCTAACATTGGTCCGATTTAAAATAAACTTCCTGTAAGATGCATTTGCTTTACCAAGCAAAGGACACCTCTGGACCATTTTTTGCTAAGACTGATCACTCATAGGGGAAAAACATGCATACCTAGAAATCATTAGACGAATATAAAGTTAGCAACTGAGCTTTTGATGAACCACTACCTTTGGCACAGGGCCTTTGAAGTTTTATGCACATTAGACAAGAATCCAAGGCATCCTTGYTTTACTGCTTTATAAGTCAATCAGTTCTCAACCCTGGCTACACATCAGAAAAACAGTATGAAAATCCCAATGCCTAGAACCTATCTCGGACCCTAGAAATCAGAATCCTTGGTGACAGGGCCTCTAGGGAGTATCTGTAAAAACTTTCTGAGTGATTGTGACATACAGCCAGGTCTGAGAGTCAGCCCTGTTTCAAGTTTTTTTTTATCTCACATGAGACAAATACGGACATTAAATCATTCCCCTTCTGAAGCAAATTGCTCTCTGACAGCCTGTGGGAAAAAATGTCCCCCTCTCCAGCTGGACTCAAGGTTAAAGCTATACTTTCCTTCTCCTTATGTTCAAAATTCTGTGGTTTTAAATATACTTTTCTTATCATTCCATCTCTCTCTCCAAGCATACCTCCTTTCCAGCCTTCCCCCAATTGTTAGATACAAAGAAGCAGGGGAAATACATTAGTTTATCAATCGATCTGGGAGTAGAAGTACTTGCTAACCCCTTTTTATGTGCCATGATCATACATCGTCTAGCAGGTACCCTGGCTGTCCCCACAGCTGTGTCATTACCAGAAGCTAGACACAAGAGCAATGACTTAGGAACATGGGGTAAGACAAATTGCTTAACCCTTCTGGACTCAGGGTACAGGACAAAATTCATTCCTCTCTACAGGAAATCCTGTAATTCGATGGAGTAGAATAATTTCCAAGCACACTGTGTTGACCCTGCAAACAATTGGCTTTGAAGTACAGACTCTAATATCCCAATCTTTTTGATAATATCAATCTGTTCTCTTTGGCAAAAAAAAAAAAAAACCTGCATGAAATAAAGATGTTTTAGAAGGTGCCTAATCATTAAATTACCATCACCAACTAGAACTTGAATGTAATGTGGAAATTCCTATTTGATTTTAAAATCCAATGAGGATTTTGATATAGCATGTTTTTAATCTCTGGAAAGGCAATCTAAATAGGAAACTCCAGCAGATACATAGTCCAACTCAACTCCCACTCCTCTACCCTCCAACCCCCCCACCCCCACTTAAGAAAATCAGCTTAAGCTCTAAAGTACCCTTAGGACATCACTCTTCCCTGCTACTTGTTATATGCATCAGTGTATCAGGGCATTAAGTGAATTAAATGCAAAATAAAAACAGTCTTTAAAAGTCCCTTGCAAACATTTTAAAAGTCCCCCACCCCAGGAATTTGGTAAAGCCTAGAAGTTACTCCCCCCCCAAAGGGGCAGCCCCATAATTACTGGTATGTGAGAGTAGAAAAGGGGCAGAGACAGGTCTTCTTGGCCCAACCTGGTCTTAATATATTCCAGGGCCTAGAGCCAAGGAAGACAATCAAGCCTTTATTACCAGCCAGATCATCCCTCCACTGCACCACCTGCCCTTCTCCCTGCCTCCTGCACACCATCCCGGGGCTACAAGACCTCACCATAAACGAGCTGCAGTGAGGATTGAGAACTCTGCTTTCCTTCCTGGTGTGACTCATTAAGGTGATTGTAACGTTACCTCCTCATTAAGTTTTTTTTAAAAAATAAAATTTATAACTGGAGTGACTTTAAATAAAACCAAAAAGCAWATGTTTTTGTTTTTCAGATTCATCCAGGGGTTTAGAAAGCAGGCAGAGTGAGTTATTGAAAGGGAAGTTTGATGATTTTTCTAGGTCCAACCTTGTTAATAAAGTCTATTAAAATATTTTTAGAGCCTATGTCTACTCATCCCATCTTCCCCAAGTTCACTAAAATAACGGAAGACAGGCCACTTGTGCATAGGCTTATCAAAGAGAAGGGTTGTGTCCGACTTGATCCTGTCCACTCGAAATGTCCTCTGCCCAGAAAAACCACAGGAGATGTGGGTTGAATTTAATTTGATTGGAAAGCAAGAAGAATGGACACCAATTCCTTTTCACATTTGGTTTCAAAGGATCAGAAACTTAACCAGCAACTTAACAATCCACAGTAATTTCTGTGTTGTGGTGCTGAGGACTGGAGCCAGACACTTTCTGCACACTCACCTGCCACTGAGCCATCCCCACTACCCCTCACACTAAAGGTTACCCAAAGTCATGTGAAATTAAAAGTGTAGCACTTATCTTCAAGATCAGTCCCTGCTGAATTAGCAAGGGTTCCTTTTCCTTGGGGTCATCTGTGAAGAATTGCTGAATACATTTCAGCAACAGTGAAACACACTGAAATTCATTTTTATCCAGTTCCTAGGTAGTAGATCACACCAAATTAAAGCTCTTGCAAGTAGCTGTACATTGGTATCTTGGCCCCCAAAGAAATAACCGGCTTGCCTTATTTATTGATCTGTCAAGATGGTGTAACAGAAGATGATTATATTTTTGAGGAAGGTAGCTCTCTTTCTCTTCAAAAAATTCTTTTATCTTCTGAAATCCTTTGTTATTTGATGCGTCAATAATTAGTGATTGAAGCTGGAAAAGTAATCGTTTGAGTTACTTTTTTTTTTACTCAAGAACATCTGTTTTATAGTAATATTTCTAACTAATATCAATACTAATCAGTCAGCAAGAAATAATGCAGGGTAAATATAGAATAAAAATCTGTCTTCAATAGTCCACCATCACTTAAATGATTGACCTTTCCATTGGCTTCAGGCAGAGGTCTCAGAATGTGAGTCCCAGTTCACTCTAAGCATTGGCATCACCTGGGGTCCCATGAGAGCTCAGAGACTTGCAAGCTGAGCTCTAGGGGTTGCTGACACCTGCTAAAACTTGAGAACTACAGATTTAAGGGAAACTGCACTTCCATTATAGATATCAAAAGACGCTCAGAAATGTTGCAAATTCTAATAAGAAATGCAAGCCTAGGAATACTTAAATAACAGAAGAAAAATAAAACTAAGTTATGTGCAATGAAAGTTGACAAATATGCAAATTGCCATACAAAACTATCTTTTTGCCTGAATATTAGCCAAGGGAGACCATTCACTTGAATAACAGACATTTCCTTAAGTAGTTATGCTACAAAAGACAGTTTAAAAGAAAATCCAGCCCAATTGTATAGTCCAAATTATAATATACAATACTATTTTAATAAGGAGGTATTTTACTCTATTTAATTCAAAATTCTAATTCTTAGTGCAGGTTTAAATAAAGAAACAGCATTTGAAACTACTCCATTTCAATTTTTTTTTGGGGGGGGAGGAGGTACCTGGGATTGAACCCAGGGGAGTTTAATCACTGAGCCATATCTCCAACCCTTTTTTGAGACAGAGTTTTGCTACGTCGCTTAGGGCCCCTCTAGGTTGCTAAGGTTGGCCTTGAACTCACCATCTTCCTGGGTTGCTGGGGATTACAGGCGTGCAACACTGAGCCCACACAATAGAATATTCTCTTAAATCACCACATAGCGAATTTTTTTGTGCCAAATGTGTTAAGGACTCCACAAATGCTCCCCCTCTGAAACCTCCCCAATACCCTGAGTTAGTCTTCCTCTGGAGAAATAGCAAGGATGGGGGAGGTTACAGACCTTCAGGAGATCATTCAAGTGAGATTCATACTCAGATCCCAACTCAAAACCCCATGCTTTCGCCTACTTCAGTCTCCACCGTCTCTTAGCCGGAACTCAGAATTAATCAAAACCCTTTATCCTTCAGGCCTTTACATGATCTAATCTCCGCCAACTTCTCCCACTTCCCTACTAATGTGTCTGAGAATAAATCAAAGTCTCCATTGCCCCAGGGCCTTTGCACTAGCAATTCGATCCCCAGACTGCTGCTCCCTACCACTTTCACCATGGTGAATCTTAGTCTAAGTATTACTTTCTCAGGTAACTATTTCAGGACCACCTTCTCTAAAGTGAGCCATGTGCCTCCTTACAACCCCATTTACAATACCCTGCCCTTTTCTTTACCATTGCATGATTATTTGTTGGTCTGTTTCTTTTTCTCTTAGCCAGTGTAAGCTTGAGGAGGGTAGGAACTGTGTTTGTTTTGTTTGATATTATCTACTTTCACCTGGAATAATGCTCCCTGGGTGCAAGATGGCTTATACTAAGGTGTCAGGACAGTGGGAGGTAAGATCAGCTAGACATGGTAATGGATATGGGAGATTAGGGAAGAAGAAACAAAAAAGGGTTTCTGGCTTGAGAGAATGGGGCTAATGACCCATCAGAACTACCAAAGAATACAAAATAAACTTTGATCTTTACCCAGAAAGCATCTTGGTTCTTCCCGATCCTATCATCTTCCTTAACAGACTGCAAAGGACCTTCATTTTTCTGTGTGCAATAAAAAAGATGTTACACACACACAATTTCAAAGAATTCTATTTCAAGTTCWAAATATAAAGGCTTATATTGTTTATTTGAATAGAAACTTTTTGTTTGCTCATGATGCAGATTGCAGCCTAAGACAGACCATGGATTTTTGGGTTTTTTTTTGTTGTTGTTTGTGGTGCTAGGGATCAAATCCAGGACCTCCATGCCAGATAAGCACTCAACCACTGAGCAACAGTTCCAGCAGAATAACAGGGCCTTCTGGGGGAGGGTGGGGGGAACCTGGATTGAACTCAGGGGCATTCAACCACTGAGCCACATCCCTAGCCCCCTCCCCCCCTTTTTTTTATTTAGGGACAAGGTCTCACTGAGCTGCTCAGTGCCTCACTATTGCTGAGGCTGGCTTTGAACTCAGGATCCTCCTGTCTAAGCCTCCTGAGCTGCAAATAAATATTATCCGGCTTCCTTTAGCAAAATGCAGACTATCACAAGAAGCAAACATTATTTGAATAAATGACCATAACAAATTTAAATTATACTAATGACTATAAACTAAAGGCTTTGAATTAATTTTCAGAATCAGAACTTGTAAATTAAAATAAAAAGTGCTTCTCCAGCTCAGCCTTAGTTTAAACTTTGTATTGGCAATGTGCAACTTTTCAATGTTATGCTGAGGCTTCTATACTGAAATTTCAAGGATCAAGCACCAGCCACCACTAAAGAAGTGTCCAAAACATTTAGTAGTAGGTTGTTTTCTTCAGGAAGTGATCCCTGATCCACTATTCTGACTTTAAACATTGTTAGGCCACATTGAATAACAGTATCTGATCTCCCTTCAGGCCAACAATTGAAAAGCATAATACAAACAAGCCTTATTTACTTATTTTAGTTGTAGATGGACACAATACCTTTATTTTGCTTATTTACTTTTTTATGTGGTGCTGAGGATCCAACCCAGCGCCTTACACACGCTAGGTGAGTGCTCTACCACTAAACCACAATCCCAGCCCAAACAAACTATTTTTTAAAAGTATCTTCTAAAGGGGCTGGGGTGGTGGCTCAGTGGTAAAGTGGCAAAGCGCTTGCCTAGCATGTATGAGGCACTGGGTTCGATTCTCAGCACCTCATATAAATAAATGAACAAAATATAGGTCTAAAAGCATCTTAAAAAAWTTTTTTAAAAAGTGTCTTCTGAATCTAGTTTGGACAAACAGTACACTTCTATGCATTTGACCAAAATTTTTAAATGTCAGTGTGTTTTATGTATTATCATTTACAAACATGAAAAATAGGGTGAGGTCAAACACCCTAACCCAGACCTGGGCCATTTTCCCCTAACATCCGTCATGCTAGTTAAATGCTGATAAATTGGAGCTCTGGGGGCACCAAGACCCTCTGGCTGTCTTAGGGGGCGTACTTTTTCTTGGAGTCAAATATATTCTCAACGTTTCGGAAGGCAGATTTGGGGCCCAGCAGGTGAAGGTCAACCGAAACTTTCTACGCACAAAAGGGAAAGAGGACTCGGGAAACAGCCTGAGGAGCTGGAAAAAAAAACATCGCGTTGCTTTCCAAACATGAATCCTGCAGTTTCTTCCCCAGGCGCTGTAACTGACAGGATTTCTGTCCTGTGTCATTATTCTACTGAAAACTTCCAATAAACTCCCAAAGAACAAAAGGAGGTTGAAGCGTTCAAAGAGCCTCGGGAAGGATTTGTCCAGCAGCAGCCTAAGACCATACCCAGTGCCTGGTCTCTGGGCGAGCATCTCCAGCCTGCCCTCGCGGTGCCCAGCACGGTGGAGACCCGGGCCCCGCTCCACCCGCGCCCCCGGTGCGCGGATGTCGGTCACTCACCGCTGGCATCCCGACGCTTGGGAGCCTATGCCGCACTTGACCCAAGACTCAGGGCGGTGCGCTCCGCCCGGCTCCACACTCTCAGTTCAGTGGCCCGAGATCACTGCCGGCTGGGAGCGCTGCGGTGAGGGTCTGAGGCGCAGGATGGCTCTTGGATTTGAGTCTTCTCCAGGATCTCTAATTGAATGAACCTGCTCCTGAAATCTATTAGATCCCGGTGCTGGAGATTCAAGAAACGCGAGCGAGTAACTAGCGCTCGTGGCCAGGCCACCTGAGCGCACGCACACGCTCCTAAAGAGAAAATCAACGCGCAAAAGACGCGAACACCTTTGGTAAACATTGTGTGCGCAAAAATCCAAACTAATGAGCGTCACCTTTGCGCTACCCGCCGGGTGAGGCTCTCTCTTCTCGGTCCACGGACTGAGGGGCTGGTTTTGGTCCTTTGATGTGTATTGACCACAGCTGAACCGAAAGTTTCGCAAAGGAACAGTTTGTACCCGATATTCGGAATACTTTCCTGGCATCACAAAAAGGTGCTTTCTGTTCCTTTGTATTTTAAAGTACCTTGGTGGAGGGGTGGTAATTAAAAATAAAGCAAACACTCAGCTTGTTTTTTTGCCCGCTTACTTAACCTGTGCGTGCTAATTGCTAAGTTGCCCTGGGTAGGTGGCCTGTGATCTGAACACCGCGGTAAAAATAAATGACTTGAGTTTCCTCAAAAAGAAAACAAAACGCCAAACATTCCTTGTGTAAAACTCGACTTGCATTTATCACTGACCGCTGTACTTCATGTTGTGATATTTACAGAAGAAATGTATCTACACGAAAGCAAACACAAAACGAAAATCCTTGTTACTAAGCCCGGACTTGGCACGTCCAATCTATTCAAAACGATGTGTATGTTAACCATGGACCCGTCTGTTTCCTGGCAAACATGTTGTAACGACACTTTCATGAATCTGTTTGTTTTAATCTAAATTTACAAAATTTAAAGTTTCGTTCCTTTCATTTTGAATGAATAGACTCTTATAATTTTAAACTAGTAACAGGCACAGGTGTGAATTTAAAAAATCGTAAATTGCGGCGAGGTGGGGCACACCTGTAAATCCTGTAAATCTGGAGCCTGAGGAGGATGAATAATTTAGCAAGACTCTTTAAAACAGAAAAAAAAGGAGAAGGAGAAGGAGAAGGAATAAAAGACAAGAAAAGGAAAGAGAAAACAAGGAATGGGGATGTAGCTCAGTGATAAAGCACTCCTGGTGTCAATCCCCAGTATAAAAAACACAAACAAACAAAACCCCTAAATCCATGCTAATGTTAGGGCAGGAAAGAATTAAAGCATAGTAAAACAACAATCAAATATAGTTTAAATGCATTTAATATGAAATTAATTTTTTTACTTTTTACTTTTAAATAGAAAACTTCAAAACCAACCTTTCTCAGATTTTGAGGGAAAATACAGCCTTCAAAACTCTATAGTATCAATGTATTCAATCTTCATGAGATATTAAAAACGACATCATAAAAAATAATAATACTTATTTACTTATATTTTTACATTGGTTAGCTTCTTTTACCAATATATTTACTCAGACATATTTTAGGGTAAYTTGGAATATATATTCTAATACTTCACAAACTAAATATGGTGGGGGTTCTATGAAGTTCCCCTTTTTTGAACAACAGAATCCATTTACAAGTTAATTGATTTACTTTTAATGTTAAAAAAATTACATATGCCGACCACAGTAGTGCATGCCTGTAATCCCAGCAGCTCAGGAGGGTGAGGCAGGAGGATCCAGAATTCCAAGCTAACCTCAGCAATTTAGCAAGGTTTTAAGCAATGCAGTGAAACCCTGTCTCTAAATAAAATATTAAAAAGGATTGGGGATGTGCTTCAATGGTTAAGTGCCCCTGAGTTCAATCGTCAGTACAAAACACATATTTTTGAAGGATCATGACTTTCTAGGGACATCTCAAAAACATGGAGGAAAGAAATATTCCAACAATGTTTGCACTACCACCAGAAATTAATGTCTATGTATTCTCAGAGATAATGGTAAATGACTTTTTTTATTTTTATTTTTTTCTTTTGGTACAGGGGTTTGAACTATAGGTGCTTTACGACTCAACTATATCTCCAGCTACCCCACCTCCTTTTAATTATTTTCTCCCAATTTTCAAATAGGGACTCACTAAGTTACTTATGGCTCAATAATTTGATTTTAATTTTGAAAGAACACGCAACACAAAAAAGCAACAGAATGACAGGGACCTTCCGCAGTCAATGAGATGGTAGTTTGTGGGTGGAAGTGTGAACAAGAGCAGAGACATCTATCCCATTCCCACCCAGACTTAGTGATGCCTCCGAATGAGGGATTTTATCCTGAAGCCTTGACAAGACCGTTCAGGAGAAGGTGGGGATGAAAAAAATCTCTTCCTTCTTCTAGGACGTTTCCTCTTCCCCTGGGACGAGGGCCTGGCCTTAAAACTAGAAGGAAAGCAGGCGAGGATCTGCCCCAAATTGACTTTTCGCGGGTCCACGGAGGTTGGCGGGCAATCCTGAAGCGTGCCTTGCTCTTGGACTGACTTTTCTGAGCAGACCTGTGGTGCCCTTGATTGCAGAGGTAAGCTAACAATGTGGGCGAATGATCCTTGGCTTCTTGGGGTCCTGGTCTTAAAACGCACCTCGTTTTCCAGGCTTTTGTCAAACGAAGGGATTAATCCTCAAGAGGCGCAGCACCCAGCGCCCTCCTGGCGAGGTCTCCCAGCAGCTGTGGGCATTGCGCCTGGGGCGCGCTCCGAAGTGCCCAGGTCCAGTGTCGGGATTCGGAGGGACGTGGGTCGGGAATATCCTCCGCTAACAGCTGTAGGCCTTGAGGGGTTGGTCTGTGCTCTGGCTAGAGCTCGAACTAGAAGCGAGCCGACTGCAAACAAGACATCTAGGAATAAATTCCGGATGACCATCCTCTCTCGCTGCCTAGGATCCGTCCCTGGGATAGCGAAAGAGCGACTTTAGTGACTCCAATTGATTTCTTTTCTTTTCTTTTTTTGGGGGGTGGGGGTGGGGGGGGCCTCCAGGTGCCGGAATCGCCAGATGTGAGGCGGGTGCACATCGGAAGCAGGCTTTGTCTCAGTCCTGAGGGCTCACATTGTCCTAGCAAGGGTTCTCCAATCCCCCAAAAGCCTTCCAAGACACCACGAAGTAACTGAATTTGTCGCGAGGTTTCCACGACAATATCAATAAAGATTTCTTTAAAGGGAATTTCCACAATACCAATAGACATTTCTTTTTAAGATTTGCGTTCATGTGGGTGACTTGAACGGAAACCTCACGGAACTCCACTCGGTTCTTTATTTAATGGATAAGGAATCTGAGGTTCCGGGGTTCTTAGGACTTCTGAGCTCCCGCAGCAGAGCGCAACTTCGACCGCCCTCTCCATCTACCCGGTGTTCATCTCACCCCCACCGCCTCCAGATTCACTTTCCAGGACTTTCTCCAGGACTCAGGTCTCTGCAGCCCCAAKAGCGTGGGTGCGACAGCGAATCGGGGGCCCCCTCCGACGTCCCATGCAGCTCCCCGAGTCGCCCAACAGCTACAGCAAGAGCCCACAGCGGAGGTTCAAAGCAAATCGGCCCCACGCTAGGTGTGGGCACGCCTAATCAGACTTGGGCGTGGGGCTGGCGGTTGAGAGTGCCCGCACGGTTCCCACGCTCTCCCGGAATGGAGTGTGGGCTCTCGGGGGACTTTGCTAGCAAACCGCTGCTTCAAAAGCCTCGATCTAAGCCTTCTCCAAAACCACGGAGACCGAGGTGCGATTAGGAATAAAAATGGTTTGCAATTTAAATGAAATATTCTAATTCCTGCATCCCATCTTGGCTTCAGTTTCTTCTAGATTCAAAAAAGGCTAGATTTAACCTCCTCCTCCTTTCGGGATCTATCCGGGAGGGGGTGACCCGCTTCTGGAGAAGGGCGCTAGAGAGCGCTGCGAGGAGGAAAGGCGGAGCCGCAGGGGTGTATCTCTATAAACTTGCAGACAGCTGCCAGACCCTTGCTGCTCTCTGGGTGGAGAGATTTCAGCACCGCAGTTGAGGACAGGGCTCCGCCCGATCCAAGTCTGCAGCTTGCAGCTTCTGAATTTCTAAACAACTCGCGTGCGCGCTCCCTCTCACACACACCTGATTTCTTCTTATTAAAGGTGGGAGGATCACCTTGCACACCTCTCGTATTTTCTATCTTTCAGGATCCTAGGAAGAGAAGGCGAGCTAGGCTGGGCAGATGCCGGCAGAGGTAGCGCAGGACTCGGAGCGTGCGTGCGCCTATGGGATGAAGCTCAACTGGGACATCAACGATCCGCAGATGCCTCAGGTGAATGAAACTGAGTGTGTGCGGGCACGCGTGGCGTTGTCCGTTCAAAGAAGGGGGAACGGCATGTAAGTTCTTGCTGAGACTCTGGACACACACACACACACACACACACACACACACACACACACACAATTTCTGAGAGCCCTCAAATGTAGAGAAAAGTTTTCTGGACTCTCCAAAAGACCAAGTTGGATTTAGAGATTTATGTACTCCCAGTAATTACCTTGTGCTTATCTGAAAGGGTGCTGGAAGCAGTAGGAAATATCGATCGGGCTCCACATTCTGATTAGTCCAGTGAGAGCAAGACACCTTGCCTTTAGCCACAGTAGAAATCAGTTCTTTCTCCCCTTTTCTGCTTATTGGAAAACCCAGAAGAAACGTAGGAGGGGAAACACAGAAAATGCAAATACCACTGCTTCTCCTGCAACAAAGCTGTAAGATAGGATTGTAAATGGAGGTGGCAACTTGAGCAATTTGTTTAGATAGAACCCACTGCCTTATTTGGAGTTTCCACAGTCATGCTTCATTAAGGCATTTTCTCCTAAACCTCACTTCTTTAAAGACAAGGAGACCATCACACTTTTAGTAAATTTGTTTTGTTTTGTTTGAATGGAGCCAAGTGGTTTAGAGCTACATGCAG